TGCAAATGACTGACGATCCCATGCGAGGATCGAACAAGCAATTCTGATGCAGTCTTGCCCGAGTGACTTGTTGAAAGTGTGCTGGGCGGTTCAAGAAATGACTGGAGCTTGATCCAAAGCAGGTTCAAGCCCTGTGATTGAGCGCGTGCAGTTAAAAGAAACCGAAGGCATCGAGCCGGATGATCGATCGAGTCACTCTGCGGACATCGCTATGTGTTTGTATTGTACAGGAATCTAACCTCGGCATCTTGAACTACAGTAGTTTCATCAAAGGGGCAGATGCTGAACACAATGGTTGCTGGGTTCACATCATCCATCTCCTTTGGGTGCGTCAAGATGATGTCAAAGATTCCTCCAACATCTGTCTTCCTGACCGGTGGACACAAGTCAACCCCGCGAAATTTCGGAGAAAAGTGGCCCCACGAGAGCACATTGCAGCCGAAGGAGCGGCAAGCCGATTGCCGGCTTGATTTGGGAAAGGATGATAAGTATCGCGCTGGCGGTGATGAAGCCACTTAGAGCCTTCGACGCCGCCGTCTTGGAAGTGCTGCTGGGGCAGCTTCTGCTTAAGAATTAGTTGATCGTTTGTGCCCACTGTGACCGAGAAGTTCGGGATGTTGTGCAAGGAGTTGCTTGCAGCTTTGGCCAAGGCGCAGGTTTGGAAAGAAATCGCACCAGGAAAGCCAGCTGAAAAACACCCATAGAGCCTCCGGCAGAAGCACGAGCAGCAACCGCTGGATGCAATATGGATTGAGCGCAACTGCACAACTATCATTCAAAAGCTGTCCAGCCAGTGTCAGGATCCACGCAGCGCAAACGGGCAAAGGGCTTGACTTCAATTTTCAAACACTTGCATATTCAGAGTGGAGTCCCGTCTCGAATGTGAAGGCTGAGGTTGCGCCTATGACAAGCCCGACTTCCAGAGTGAAAATGGCACCTCAACCAGGGCGTGGGAGGTTGCTTCAAGATCAGCAAGCAGAGGATTTTTGAAAAAACGCTCAGAAACAATTACCATTACTATGGTGCTGGAAGCATTGAGTCTGAGGATGAGCCTCAGCGTGAGAAACATTGTCTTTCAAATCTCCCAAACCAAATCTTGGAGCTAGGGCCTCACACTCCCTGAAGCCATTTTTTCCTCGGCACTAGCATGCGTCCGCCTCTCTTCACCTCCTGCAGAGAACATGCACATGCAGCGGCTGAGCGCGGCCTGTTCAAACAAAACTGCGGCAATCATCAGTGATTTGTGATCGAAAACGGTTTCGAAGGGCTCGCTTCTCTCTTCTTCTCCCAGGCTTAACGTGCGAGTTAAGCCCCCCGGGCACTAAGGCCCGCCCGCCTTTTACGGGCTGTTAAAGGGGAGTGAAGTAAGATGACTTTCACGACCGAAAAGGCAGAGGCATAGATATTAAATTACACTATGTAGTTTCGCTCTCTCTCTCTCTCTCTCCGTAACTTCCCGTGTCCTGAGACTTGCCCAAGCTGCTCGCCCGTAAGCAAGGCTACCTTGGCACTGGCTTGATCAGAATCTGGCCATGCCTCCAGCAGCCTCCTAAGTCCTAAGCAAGCTGAGGGTGAGTGCACTCTTTGAGTTCTGCCGTCCCCTCAAAAAAAGCAAGCTGAGGCACAAGGCCGCCTGTTCCCACAGAGGCCTTCGAAGGCGAAGAACATTTCGGGCGGATCGGTTCTGACACACACACACACACACAGACTTCCAACTTTGCGCGCGCCTGAACACATGTGCCGAAGAGAGAGTAGAGCACGGGAGGCACGAGGCAACTGTATGGTCCGGTGATCAAGCTCACCTGCAGGCGACCGGACACTCCGGGCTGAAAAAACACTCGTCGTGACGGGATACGTCTGGCGAAGGAACGGCCTTAGACAGGGCAGCATGAGCCAGCGACTGCGCGAACAACACGCACCCCAGCGTGACGCCGGATGCCACATCCTGCACAAGCACACACATGTCTGGAACTGTACGGAGTGTTGCTTCAAGCCATGGTCCTTTACCAAGTTCTCCTTCCATCTGTAGGATGGCAGCCATTCCTGACAACCCCAAAAAACAGGCTGCAGACAAGGGCTATCGCTGCTTGCACTGTCTCATGCCCCGATGTGCCCCGTGCCAATCTACATGGAAGCAAATGTCAGCAAAGAGCACGACAGTTTACGTCTCGAGCAAGGGGCAATGATGGGAACCAGCCTCACAGTGGCAGCAGAGGTCCCGATCAAGCAAGGGACGGCAGACTTTGTTTAAAGCAAACAGAAAGACAAAGTGCCACGGGTGCCGAACGATCCTTAGGCTTATGAAATTTTGGCAGCTGCGACCTTGAGCCTGCTGCAAGCCAGGCGACTTTCGCATCACCTCCTGAAATTTCGTGTGGGCTCTTCGTAGCAGAAGCTCGAACTGGTAACTTGATTGAAGTCATGGACTTGCTAAATGCCAGCACACATGACAAGAGAAAATCAGTTTGCAGAACTTCGCTTCATAGCCGACAGTCTTTAGATTCAACCTTAGATTCCTTAGAGCAGGAATCCTTGCATGTCGGTCTTCGAGGTGAGCCGTCAGAGGGCAGCTGCAGGTAGCGCTCCTCCACTGCCATGCTGCTGTTCTTCTGTGGCCTTCTTTAAGGGCTCCCTGTTGTGCTGCTCTTGAGCTATCTTGAGCTGGTATGACGGTTCATACCAAACATTGGTGTTGCTGGCTTCTGCCATGAAGAATCTCGAATGCGCATCTAGCAGTCTAGCATTGGAACAGCTGAATATAACTCTTGCTGGGGCTTGATCTCGACAATTATCCGAAAAGAGGCCGAGCAACATGTCATTCACGGGAGCTCCACAAGCGTGAGAATCAGATCGTAATGGGTTGCTTCCATTTACCGGCTATCCGGAAACGCATCGACCAGGTGCTCGCGGGGGTGCTGTACACTGTACAACTTGTACACACCGTGGGCAATTAGAGGCAAAGCTTGTGGGGCTCCAACAGGAACCACAACACAAGATGAATAGGCATAGTTGTTTCAAGGTTGACTTGCAATCTCCCAGAACCTCTGGGATTGCTCAGCCCTGGATGTGGCGTTCCGGCGGCCGAAAGGCTGAAGCACCTGCGGCGGCAGATACAAGAGAAGCCACGTGCGGGCTCACGTCTGCAGCGCAGGACCTGAAGCTTCAGGGCTTCGCCCTCCGGCAGGATGCCACGGCTGTCGGCGGCGCACATCCGTAGCAGGGAGGACCTCAAACAGTGCCGGATTGACGCGGGCACGGACATCCTCACGCATGTAAGCTTGGAGAGCCCTCCACTGCCATCAGCTGCTCATGCTGCTCGTTCGAACTTCTTCCCTCTTTCGGACCTACGTCGCGTGAGTTCGACGATTTCCCTGCTCCTCCTCTCATTAAAGTCATCAAGCTCGCCTCCTTCATCGTTACTGCTACAATACGCTCCCCTTGATCGTTCAGGTCATGGTTTTGCAGATTCCAGGTTCCCTGTCTCATTCGCCATATTCACAGTGCGAATCTTTCGAAGCGATGCGGTGCCCAAAAGCCCCTTGTGGCAGCAGACTTGGCATGTATTGTGGGGTCGCGGTCGCGGTCGCAACCCTGAGAGATGACCAAAGCCGACCTCAACCTCCAGGTACTGCATCAGCTTGTGAAGGTCATCGTCCGTTGCCGCAGTAGCCTCCGAAGCATCGAAAGTCGGCCTCGAAGTCAACTGAGCAGCCATGTTGCGTCTGGCATTTCTGGCAATACCCATGTTACTAGGAGACTTGGCCCAGGACACAATGACAGCATTGCCCCGGTTGTACAAGCAGTTGACGGCGGTGTCCTGGTAGAGAAACTTGGACTGATGGAACGTGGCTCCGAAAAGAACTGCAGCTGGTGGGTGGCAGTCAACACGCTGAAACGTCAGTGCAAATCCGAATCTGCTGAAAAGCTTGTTGTTGCCTGAAGCAAACTTGTTTGCCTCCCGCGTGGCTAGGGCGAGATCCGCACAGCGAGGCCGAGTGTCATCAAGACGAGGCTCGTTTGAGGCCAGACTGAGGGAACTCTTCTGGATAAGCCTAAACCGACTGAACCCAAATCAGCAACAACGGGTTGCAGTGAAAGCGTTGCCGAGGGTGCTCTCCCGGAATCGCAAAATCGCATGAAATTCCGACCCCAGCTACGACTATGGTTGGCCCTGATGAATTTTCTCTATGTTTATCATATCCCCGCACATATCCGCACGCAAGCTGTCTGCATGTGGCTCCTCCACAATCACGGTAGTTTCCCGGCAGAAGCCACTCCGCCGCCTCTTGTCAGCTTTACAACACTCACCAACTACTACATAGATGTGGATGGACACCCTGAAGCACTACAGGATCGCCCACCGGCCAAGCCTTGCTCCCGACTTCCACACTTTGCGAAGTCGTTTGCAGGTCCTGACAGAAACCCAAGTTCTCAGACAGAAAAGCCGCGACATCTTTGCTTAATTGAGTATGTCGGGTTGAGGGAAAACGCGGAAAAGAAAGCGATGCAAACGAAGTACGGAGGGAGTTCTGTGCCATCACGGTCGCGCTGATGCTCGCTGCAGCGCTTCTGAGACCTCAGCTGCTTGAGATTTCCACACGAACTTTCGGTACTGTCTGGCACCACATCTGCTGTTCCAGCAGCCAGCAGAAGCACCAGTTTCGATGCCGCGACAGCACCTAGCACGAGTCCAGCTTTCGAATGACTCGCAGGCGCCAGCAATCACAGTCTGGTGCATCATGCAAAGGGACTTGCCAGACTTGCTGGCCTCCGCCACAACCATATCGCACCAGCTGGCATCAGATGCTGTCCAAACTGCCACCCCCGCAAAGCCTCTGCAAACGGCTTGTCTGCATTTTGTTGTATCCGCGCCCTGGAACTCTGGAACCCCTCTACAGTAGCAAGCATTTGGGCGCCAAGTTGCGCTCGAAGCAGAAGTCCAAGAACTTCTGCAAGTTTGGGCGTGCAAAGACAGCGATGTGCTCCTGGGGCTGTGGCATTTTACAATTAGTCGTGATGTGCAAAGCTCTTCTCATTCTTCCTCAGAACACTTGTTCAGTCAGTCCGCTCCGTGAGCGGCTTCGAGACAACCAGAACGACAAGAGACAAACGCATCGCAGACGGCTCCTCGTGCACGTGGGTGGGCTCCGAAAAAGCCACGAACGAGCCCCAGGGTCGACACACATTCAACGAGTCTATGAGGGTGCCGTCGATGTCCAGAACAATACCTGCCGCGCTGATGACTGGATCCGCATTCTAGAACACCTACAGTTGCAGGTGGCAGTGGGAGAAACGGTCGAGTGTAACGTATCTCCACTCGGCAAGGCTTACAGACCTAGGTTGTAGGTGCAGGCGGGAGTGCGTTGCAAGGACTCAGTGCAGTAGCTGCTTTCTTCTTTTGGCAGGCAGACTTTCAGGGCAGATCCAGCACAAGACAAGCAGGCGCTCTAAAGATTATGTGTGATCCTGCTGTGGCAGTCAGTTGTGGCTGATCCCCCCTCATCGCAGGGCAGCTTGGCAAGCATTACGACGGGCTAAGAAGGGGGATGTCTATAGACTCATGCAAACTGCATGCAACCAAGCAACGCGTAGGGAAAGTGGGAGTGAGAAGAAGCGGAAGACCGGCAGGAGGGGCGAGGAGCGCGCAAAGGAGACACGGAAGAAATCTGAGAGGGAGTGAGAAGAGAGGGGACAGGCAGCAAACAAAAAGCAGAGAAGAGGGAAGGGAAGCCACCCAAACCCCCGATGGGAGGTGTCTATAGGCATCCCATTCATTCTCGCGAAAAGGGGCGTCTGGGCCCACACCTGGTAATGTTAACCTCATATTTAGAATCCCCTGCGTAATTGCAAAATCCGATTCCCAGAACGTAATTAGAAACCCCCCCGTATTTGCAGAATCCAATCGGCCTAAGCGGAAAAGACTGTAAGCAGAATGTACAGGAGCTGAAAAGGCTTTGGGACTGTTGGGGATTCTCCAGGGGCTGCAAGCAGGGCTCTGACACGTCTGGCTTCTGGACTCTGCTCTCATGCTGGACCCGGACTCTTATTACGGAGGCTGAAGCTCCCATCCTTGCGGGGGGCGGGGGGCCCTTTCTTAATATGAAGTGAACATTAAGATGCAAGGACCGGAAGATGAGAATGGCCACCGCAAAACTAGGGGGTGTGGAAAGCATACTGAGTAAAATAACTATACAAAGGGGCGCGGCCGGGCAATTTAGCTAATGTCGCACAAGAAACCGCGCCCTGGAGTCGAGGAACGAAGGAAACGACAGGGGCAGCACGGCGCACAAGACGCCACATTGCGCAAGTGTATACACTCCAAAACAGAGCTCTCTAGATTGGGCTGATTCTCAAGCAGTGCAAGTTCCGATTTGGAGTCACCAGCATCACGATCATCACGCATGGCCTTTGGGCGGTCCCAAGGCTCTCGACACTGCCGGGCAAATTCTTTGGCCACATCCCAGCACCTTAGTGGCTTTTTCACGTGTTGCAATGGGCCCTGTAAGCTGATGGCACCTGCATGTGTGCTTTTTGCAGCAAGCTGCCGAAAGCGCTCCCTTCACCTGTTCTGGCTGTAGACCCACATGAACGTCTGTCCGAATCATGTGCAGCCGGAGGTGGGGAGGACAGATACCAGCGAGATCCATGTCGTCCAGCCTGGCTCAAACAAGAGTTCAGAACTCAGAACCGCAGGAAGACCAGGACGTGTCTCACATCTCTGTTGCATCCCAGGCTGCGCCACCCACTGCTGCACGCCAAGCCTCTGTCCGAAAGTTGACACTGAGAGAAGATTCTTGGCAACTGTTTCGGCACCACAGCTGCGCAATTCTTGCGGAGAAAGAGCTGAACTCGATGCCAAGCCAACCAGTGGAGAATCTCTGCCACTCTTCTACCTGCAGCTGTTCGTGCCGATGCCTTCATCTCGGGAGTTTGACCTCAAAAGGACAGGGCTGCATGTAGATTACGGCAGCTTGTGCATCTCAGTAGCCAATGAAGCGCCATGATGCAATGCCAGCGTCTGCACACGCTCCCTTCAGCGCCTCGACTTCACAGGGCCAGCGCATCACACTTCGGATCACGCTCTCATAGGCTCGTGTTGCGACTCCTTGACAGCGGCATCTTCCCGCCGCCAGCTTGAAGAGATCACAATGTGAGCCTGCATTCTTTGTCGGTCAAATCGCTCTCGAGCCTGATGCAAGCCTCTATAGTCTATATAGATCACCCCAAAGGAAGCAAGACAACTCACTTGCGTGCACTTTGCATGACCTTGCCTGGCCTGGCCGCAGTGCAACAGATCCCGCAGTCTTAGGATCAGGTTCCTTGGAGCATCCTTTAGGGCTTTCGCGCTCGTCGATCCTTCTCTCGCTGGCTTCGAGTTGGGCATGGCTTTAGCAGCTGTGAAGTCGCACATAGCGAGACACTCGGACAAGGGCGACCAAGCAACCTCTCAAGCCATAAGCCACCGGTCAGAACAGGGACGTAGTCGCAACCTGCGCCAGCTCGATCCCTTTCTACAACTTAACATCCCGTTGCCATATCCCTGGTTCGGCCCATGTCATGTCGGGCGCACAGAGGTCTAAAATAGTTTCAGGTTCCGGGGTGCAGTACAAACTCTTCAAAACTCCGATCTGATCATTCAGTGCCACGAACCTGCAGCCACTTCGGCCGCCGAGTTCAGGACGCCATCCACATCCAGAAACACGACCCGAGCGAATGGCCGAGGTCCCATCAACCAGGCCCTTCCTGCGTTTTCGCTGGGCAGCCTATGCCACCGAGCCCGCGGCAGGCAAGAGGTGCACGAATGCTGACTAAACCACGGCAGCACGAACACCCACGTGTCTCGCCGTGGCAGTCGCTGCTAGCCCTTAGCCTTCCTTTTCAAATCGATTGCTAAGTCATCGCCGAGCCGAGCTCCGAACTCTCACCTCTAAATTGTGCAGGGCACTCGGTGCAGCGCTGCACGGCTCCGAGCTGCAAGTGCACCGGCACTTTAGGAACCAAAGATCCTCTAACACTCTAAAGCATCAATCGCAAATATATCAGGCCCCAGCTTGGGTGATTCTTTTCGCGGAGAAACATCGGAACATACTTGACACAGCAACCAGACGACGAACGGGTATCACTGCGTCCACCGTGTGGCAGCCAGCTAAGGCCCGAGGCGAGAAACAAGGACGGAAGAGTACTGGCCATGCTAATACGGCAGGCCCACAAGCTTGTGTGAGGACCCGGCCGCAGCTTTGGCCGTCACTTGCCACAAGATTGCAAGGACCAACCCGCCAGGCTGTCACAACCCAGCTGCAGCTCCTGCTCGTGGAGCTCCGGTAGCCTGGCAAAGGCAAAGTGGCAGAGCGCTGTGCCGCTGTGCCCTGCCAGGAACTGACTGTATGAACGTACCGACTGCTCAAATGAATCGAGCAGCGTGAGGCGCTGAGAGATGGTAATTGGCACCTTTGCAGAGCGGCTCTCGCGTGGAGGCTGGGGTGTCAGTCTCGTGATCGTGCCGACTTGCATTTTCCGCCAAGCTGCACAACCTGCTTCGGCGATGGCTTTGTAAAGCTGGACTTCGGTGTCCTGATCCGTGAAAGCGAGGGTGACAAGACATGGGTGCAGTGGCTCCTCGCTGGCTCACCCTGTCTAGAGCAACTATCACATCATCGACATTCTACAGAGAGGCTTCTCCTGCGGGTTGAAGCTCCATCTTCAAACTCGTGCAGAGGCAGCCAGCTCTGAAACAGGATGCAGTTGCTTGTATGTCGAACCCGATGCCACCCAGCATACGATGAAGGAGCTGACAACGTACAAGGCTGGAGGGGCATGTTAGGAAGCTCGGACTTATAGGAAGGACGATAGACCAAAGTGCTGTCGGATGCAACCCTGCTGGAAGCATGGCAGACCGGTCCTGGGAAACCATGGAGGTACACTCATCAAGGATGGCAAGCCGTGGGAAGTGGAAAAGGCAACGAGCGATGCCTGGTGGCTCTGCAGTGACTTAGACAAGCAGATCTCAAAATTCGGCCCACCTATTCGCTGTTGCTCACCACCGGACAAGATCTCGTCCCACTGCAACCCTGGTGTAGCAAAAAGGCCCCCATGACGATCAACTAGGTATCCAATACCTCGGCCGTCGATGCGAAGGGCGAAACGGTCAAAGACTCCTTCCCTCTAACCACTGAGATATTTGCGACAGCTAAGAGCAGCGCCGACTACGTCCAAAGCTTGCTGCAACTTCTTCGGATCTTGCTCCGCACCACTGAGGGGGTAGGACACCTGATCCCCGAGCCCTCCTGGAGCCAAATACGGTTTCTGGGGGATTAGCAGCAGGTCGCGGAGAAACGGCCGAGTGCGGAAGACGGAAGAGCCGCAAAAGGTCACGGAGGCATTCACCGTACTTGGAGCACGAAGTCCCGCAAGGTGGCCTGCAAGCAAAGACTTTCCTGAAGCATTAGGCCCGGTAATGACCACGGGATTTCCAGGCTTCACTTCAAAGCCCACGCGCAGTGCCAAGACTTCATCCTTGCCCGGGGTCAAGATGTCCAGGTCGCGCACTTTGAGAACCGGCTCGGCTGCGATGTTTTGTGCCGTGGCAACGTTTGGGGCCAAGCGCTCAGCTTGCTCCAGGCCATTCAGGAATTCGGAAATACGGGCCAAAGTGAAATGTAGGCCGGTAAGCCTTTCAGGCAACCTGCAAACTGCAGACATGTTGTTGAAGGCCAATGTGGTTCCACGATCAAACGCCCACATGCCATATAGCTCTGCAGGAGATATGGCACCCTGGCTGACTGCTGAGGAGTTCTTCATGGTGTAGTACATGGACAAGATTCGCATGAAAGAAAGAGGCAGCAAGCTTCCGTTCGTGAGGAAGTCTGTCGCAGCCTGGTAAACGATATCTTCGTTGTCCAGTGCTTGCTGCGTCTTGATTACATCGTCAAAGCGCTCCTCGATGATTCCTCAAGTTTTTCAATGCAAGATGACTGCTGCGCCATGAGCATGTGAGAAAAACTAAAAGGGCAACCCTGTGCATCTCAGGGTCGTTGTTCTGCCCGGCCGCCCCCGGAGAAAGCAATGGGCTCCAAATTTTGACGGAAGCGTGCATGAACAGTCTTGAACTTGGCCTCCTGAACACAGAAAGGCTACATGTCATCAGGCAAGCCTTTTCAATATGCTTGTTTTTGGAGATTGGTTTACAACTATGATCTGCTGGGCAGTTCTTCGGCCTTGTCCGCTAGCCCACCCATGTGGACGGCGTAGTTTGGCATCACGTAGCGAGAAATCAGGCCGTGAAGTGGCATGTTCAGCAAGTACAGCACGAGAACTCTCCAACCTGCGCCACCGATCGAAGCAAACGGCTCAAAGTGGATGGTGTCAATATAAGAGAACCCGGAGCCAACGCCTCCAGTGAACAGCGATAGCGCTGCCCCGTAAAAGGCGAGCACGCAAGGCTTCAGGGACGACCTGGTTTGCCGTCGCATGGCTGCAAAAGTCAAACCAAGAATTCTGGCAAGTGCCGGTGCAGCTTGGTGGCTTTAGAACCTATTCTTGCCACTGGATTTGACAATGATGCTAAGCGGTGATCGCCTTGTCGGGCCTAGTGACTAGCGGCATATGCGGACTGATGTAGTGTACAAAGCCGACAAGGATAACAATCATGTTGCTGAGGAGGTGGAACAGGAGGGAGGAGGAGGAGTCTGGAACAGCAACAAGAACACTGACAGTAACGACACCAAAAGCGACAACAAAACCACCAACGCCACCACCACCACAAACATAAAACAGGAACAAACAGCAGCAGCAACAGCAGCAAGAACTGCAACGGCGACAGCAGCAGCGACAGCAACAACAATACCACGAACAATAACACAAATAAGAACAATACAAATACCAAGAACAAGAATAACAAGAATACCAACCAATAGCAATGAATAACAACGAGAATAACAACAAGAAGCTCACAACAAACCACAATAACAACATTATGAAGAATAACAAGAACATTAACAACAATAGAACAGCAACAGCAACAACACCAACAACGACAACGACAACGGCAACAACAAAAGCAAAGCCAACAGTGAGAACAACAACAACAACAACAGCAACAGTAATAATAGCAACAATAAGAATAAGAAGAATAACAACAACACTAACAGCAGCAGCAGTAGCAGCTGCGGCAGCAGCTTCAGAATCAGCAACGGCAACTTCAACAACACCAGCAACAGCAGCAGCAGGAAGAACAGTTACAGCAACATGACAACAAAAGCCTCAGCACAGCGGCAACAGCAGCAAGCGCACCCACCGAAAACAACCGCCAATATGCTCATTGACATCACGGCCCCGCTGTTCTCGGCGATGCCGGGGCATCATCTTCCCTAAAAGCATCGAGGCATGATCGCGAATCAGAAGCAACAACCATAAGAAGTCTGCAGCACAACCAACATCTTTGTCATGGGACTGTTCGCATTTACGTTGAGCGGGCATGGTCAAGGCAATCACCATCCTGTTTTCGGCGGGATGCTCCATGAAGCCAAGTAATGCATCTCCGAATCCAGCGACCTTCCCATCAAGGCTGCATGCTCGATTGGTGCGTGGAGCTAAAAAAAGCTGCTAAGTGGACAAGGGATGCGCGGCTTTCAGCTTTTTGATGGGAGTTGGGATCTGAGATACACTGAAATCAGTAAAGCCCGGCCCAGTCTTGGTCAGGTAGCTGTGAAGGCTTACGCTGACTCATTCCTTGCATTCCTTTTCGGTTCTGGGCAGGCTGGGCTGAGTCATGGCCAATGCGTTCCGGAATGGTTGTGCAATAGCAATGCTGCCATGGACGTTATGTAACCCGGCCCCCCGACTCCGACTTAGCGTGCTGGAGATCCTGCACGGCAGACACCTGGTAGAGTGCACGCCTCGGACGTCCGCGCTGCAGGGGGCCAAATTGCCGGCAGCTGCCATGCCATTCCTCAAATGACGCGACATGACACATTCGCATAGTCATACACAGAAAAACTAGCACAAGAAATTCTGAGGCTGGAAAGGCCGGTGCGAAAAACGATGCGATAGAATAAGATGACGGAGAAGAACAAGACGCAGAATAACGTCATGAGCAGCAGCAGCAACAGCAACAGCAACAGCATTTGCCGATGCAAGTGCAGTTTCTCTTCAGAACTTGTGGCATGTGGCTCTGCCAATTCATGATGTACCGCTCATGTGCCATAAAATCTCGTGGGGTTTCGCAGCTTAGCGGCCGTGGTGGATGGCATGCTTCCTCAGCAAGAGCTCGTGGACTTTCAAGGAGAGTCCTGAGCTGAAAATGCCCTGAACAGCTTGTGCTCCAAGCCTGCGCCAAGACATGCACGCGCACACAGATTCACAAACAAAACACTAGAGCCAAAGACATCAGGTCTCATACATTGCAGGCAGCAAAAGAAGACAAACACAAACACACACGCGGCACACACACACACACAGAGACTCACAACTCGGAGAAAGGACGACGAACCAGCAAATACAGTATTCTCATTGTTCTCCGTTGTGGCCAAGGTGTCCTTCTTGCAGCAACATGGCCAGCCGCTGCGAGAGACGCTTGATGAGCCGATCCAGCAGCAGCGTCAACATCGACAGTTTCCTAGAATGCTCACAACAGCAAGCAGCACGAATCATCTTGGCTGAGCTGAACGAGAAGTTACTGAAACACCGATTGGTGGCATGCTGCGATTGGTGACATGATGGGCTCTTAAACTCTGAACTGCCAGGGCTTCTTCCCCAAAGATCATACCCGTAGCAAACTGTGCTGAGTCTCATATTCTTCCAGAAGGCACGGCGAATGAATGCCACATCCTTGGACAAATGCACAGTCATGCTCACATGCGTCGTGTGTGGCTAACAAACCATGCGCCTGCCTGCAAATCCCAACGCAACTACCGCCGGGACCAATTCTGCCCAGTATTTCAAGAACCATTCTCTGTTTGCACTCTGATTGCGTCTTCAGAGACACAGGCGGTCTACAGCTTCTACCCCCTGTAGGGTCGGGTACAGACACAGCAACCTTCAACACTGGCATGTCCGTGCGTATTCCATATCCAAGGAACACCGGACAGCGCACTCACTATGATCTCTCCAACAGACCTCGGCATACAGGACTCGGCGAGGGTGGCTGTGTGTTGGTGCTTAAGCCTGTCTCTGCGCATGCGTGAGTGTTTCTTGCCTGGCGTGTGCGTTTGTTTCTGTGCGTGTTTGTGTCTGATCGTGTCTGCATCTAGACCCAGATGAGCGCATAAGTGCTTGTGAGAAGACACGGTGCAAAACAAACAGCTACAGCAGACTGCTGTTTGGGCACATATGGCACATGAATGTGCAAATAGGCGTTTGTTTGTTGGACTGTGACCGAACCGTTCTCCAAAGCAGAATAGCATTGACCTTGTCCACAGTATGTGCGGTGATTTTTCGCATACAGGAGCACAGCTCCTGCATACCAGCCATGCAGACGTACTCTTGAATTGAGTGCAATGCAGCGGCAAAACACAACGTGGGTTCTGTGCGTGCGGAAGCGCAGGACCATAAGGCTTCTGCAGCAGTTACGGCTACCATTTCGAGGCATGAGATCAGGGACGACGTCCAACGAAGCTACCTGATCTCATGGGAGGCAGGGTGTGTACTTGCGCATTCGTTGGCATCAGTTGCGTTGGTATCAGCCGTCATCTGAAACCGGGATTAGCATTGGCATCGTACATGGTTCAGCCGTCGTTTCTCCAAGTGTGTGTCTACGTATCAGTCCATTGCATTCCATTGCCAACAGCTTCCGACCGGTTCTTTCGATGACAACATCCGGCCAGTCTCTCATTCACAGTAAACAGCGTATGTGTACACACATATGAATACATACGTACAAACTTCCGTAACATACAGACATATATGCATACATATATGCTCACGAGGTACCCGCCCGGAACTCCTCTCCTTTTTTTGTGCAGGGGTTTGGTTCCCTGCCCTCGACTCCGGACTGTCTCCCCGTGTGCCAATGGGAATGGATGTTGAAGTCAATCCCCCCCTTCCTGACTCTTTATCTACCTACCTATCCACCTACGTATGTATGTATACACACACGCACACCCACACATGTGTATATACATGTATATCTCTATATATAATTATGTATTCATTTGTTTGTTTATTCATGGATTTATGCAATCGTGTGTGGCTGTCTATGGATATTATATACATATCTATACATATATATATATATATATATATATTATATGTGTGTGTGTGTATGCATACAATTTTACACAGAACTGGTCCTGTCCGGCCTCCAGGCTGCCACCAGCAGTGGACAGCGCACCACAAGGCAAAGCGCAAGAGCTGCCAATCGCCCAACCTGGCCAACCCAATCTCCGCACTTATCATGAAGGCGTGGTGTCGGGCATCTGCCTTAATCGGCAGAAAAAATGCTCAAGACTCTTGTCAGAGATGGGTTAATCCTAATTTGAAGAAGTTGCACACCAGGGGGCCGCAGCAGGCTGCCGCAGTCCAGTGAACAGGGCAGGATGGTAGATCCTGAAGACTTTGAGTTTCAGTGATGCATCGAGAAACCCAGGACCATCTCTGGAGCTCTGACTATCAGCCTATCAACCTTGTAAGGTCGTTTTCCATGCAATGGTCAGTCCTGGTCTGCTTTTCCTGCGGCAGCAGCGAGCGCGTGCTGCACCTCAGAACGCGTCAAGTGGTTTTTGGTCTTCCATGGCGAGCTGCGACTCTGACCTAACACGACCCTGTGATGTTAGGGCTGCTGTCTTGCAGCGTGTCCTGTCGGGTGAGGTAGTGTTGGCTGCTCTGCTGGACCTCGTAGCTACACATACCATCGCTTTCTGGTGCCCTCTGCCTGTGCTGCTGAAATCAACTTCAGACCATAGCGGCAGTAGCTCTATGCACGGGTGCGAGTTGCCGATTACGCTCTCACAACTCGGACACAGCCAGGCGAGGTTCTTAGGTGTGAAGTCGGTGTGAAAAGTCGGCTCGTGAGGATTCTCTCTGGCACGAGATGCCGATTACGCTCTCGCAACTCGGACAAGCCAGACGAGGTTCTTGGTGCTAAGTCGGCGGAAGGAAAGACTAAGAGGCTCACCCGAGATGCCGATTAGGGGCTGGATGTTAGGCAGCAATCAGCAAATTGAGGTCTGTCCAGTCACGGCACTCCTCGAACTTGCGCGATCGCTCTTGGACAATCTCAGCACACTCGGTCTTGCGTGCCTCCGAGAGCTTGATCGCCTCGGCCACTAGCATGGCTAGCGTGGGTACATCGAATCGTTCTGCGCGGGTTGCCCACCCAATCTATAACCCGACCCTGCAGAAACCGTGCCACTTAGATGGAATGCATGATATCAACCAGTTCCTCAAATTTTGCGGAAGCTCCACATAACAACGGGCACAGTGTATGACATGAGCACCTGCCAATGAGTGGCACGCCCAGCCATGTAGCTCTCGATAAGGCCAGCAGCATCAATGTTTTTGCTTGCTTCTGGGTCGAAAGTTGTCGGGCCGCCGTCAATCTTTTTCAGACTCCAGCCTGAAGTACAAGCATGCAACAGTACATGTCGGGGTGCACCTTTGGCATAAAAGCAACATCATCCAGTACGTGTTGCTGCCTCCATCTTCGCTGGGCTTTCCCGTTAGCATCAGCTGTTGCTGATGGTACTGAAGCAGAGCTGGTCTGTGTGCGATGGTGATGCACGAAATCCCCAGTTTGGGGCACAGTTCGAAAAGGCGTCGCTCCATTTCGCCGCTCACTGCAGATGTGCACCTGGCTGCACATGCCAAAGTGCATGGGTGTACTACACCATGAAATAAGGTGCTACCGACGTGAAGGTACGTGCAACTGTCAAGACAGTGTCTAAAACCCTGAAACGCAAGGCGGTGGCGCTCATCGAGCACGGCGAACTTGGGCCGCCTTCAGGGACATGTGTAACAGTTGGTGGCAAGAATACCATGGAAGCATTCAGATCACTAGTATGAAATTCCACTGGGCGACATGGAGCTGGAGTTTCGCAAGATCGCGCCCATCAGACGTAGAAATGGGTGCATTGCTGGTGCAACCCTTCCTGTTGCTGCCAGCCCAAGTCTACCGATCCGAGCTCCGAAGCAAAACTCGACACTTGCATCACTGGGCGGAGAACTCGGTGAGGCAGGTCTGAATTCAGAACAAAAGTGAGATCCGGGGTTACAAGCATTTTGATTCTGACCCCTGGGATCAAGCTGTACCTCCAGAACAGGCGCAGTATCGCAAGTCGCTGCTGCTCGCCCCGCGACAAGACCTGGTTTCTTAACAATAGTACGATGGGCGGAGTATATATATGTATCTATCTATCTATAAACATAAACAAAGCTATATACATATATACACAAATATACATACATACATACATACACTGGTATCTGGCAGTGGAGGGGTTGCGGAACTCTGCACTAACCAGTCGAGATTTGGCTTTGATGTGGCCTGCTCCCAGTCGATCTGCTCGGAAAATACGCCTTGCGGCAATCTTGTACTGAACAAGATCGTTCCATGCATCAGCTAGACTGAGGTTAAGCAGACGTGACGGCAGCGATTGATGCCTGACCTGGATAGTCGGCGAGGTGTCCGAGGTCTACGAAGTCGAGCCATCTCCGCAGTTCTTTCTCGGTCAAAGTGTCCGGCACTGGATCCGGGTAGCAGAACTGGTCCTCAAGTCGGGACCCCTGTTGGCGATTGTGATTGTGCGTCCATGCGAAATGCCAAGTACCGTCAAGCTTCCATGAGCGTGCCCAGCGCATTGTATGGCCTCTGCGGAAGGTAGTACACCACGCCGGTCAAACCGATTTCGTCATCGTCGTCTTGGCACGGCACAAGCCAAGGCAGCAAAATCATCCTAGTGTACTTTGACGTACTGTGCATACATCTTAGGCGTGAGCTTTCCATGTGGTTGCGGGGACGTACGATGCTGCCATTCCTGGGTGGAAGGCTGGTCGCAGCGATGCATTGATTTTTTTTTGCCTCTCGCTGGCTAGGACGAACCTACGATGCAGGGTACACTCATGGCTTCACACACAGAATATCTATACAGGTCGCACTCCATGCTCTTTCGCAAACATCCTTTACGGATCGTTTCAGTGCTATCATGATGGGGCAGGGTCGACAACGGAACACCTGCCTAGACTGCTCAATGCTAGATCTGCTGCTTGCACAACTGCCTGACCAGCATGCTGAAAAAAAGATTGGCGCAAACGGGCTCCAGCGATCAGACATTCTGATATCTAGTTGGCCACTCACTCACGCTCCACTCAACTCGCTGGATTGAGTTTAAGTGGCCACTGGCCCCGATTCGCGAGGATGCCCCCTCTTGTCTTGAACAGACTTCAGTTTGAGACAGGGAAGACGGGCCGTGCATGACCACGTCACCCGACGATGATCGCGGGGAGGTCGTCCTCTCCCTGACTTTTTCCCGCCCGCCCAGCTGAACAAGTTCGCACAGGACGAAGGTGGGATCCTGTTGCTCCGATCTTCTGCCTCGATTTGGTATGTTTTGCCATTGTCGAGTTCCTAATTGCGGTTTCGGGACGTTTTGGCACATGATCCAGACAGACCAAGACTTAGCTCAAGCCTGCGGCCCAGCAGCTGGATCAGCCAGAGACCGCCCAGACAACGGAAAATGGAACTTTTGCCTGCACCGTTGTGGCCAGTGAGAAGCAAGGCCTCGCGGATGCAAACCGATTCCAACTCTAGGTTGTGAGAAGGACGATGGACCAGGGCGTCCCCAGATGCTTTGTCGATATGGTGTGGGCAAGAAACCTGAAAGCCGCTCGAACCTACTGGAATTAGAACTTTGTGGCTCTGAGCTTGGAATTTCTGTTCGTGGCCTCACCCCAGCGGACGGAGAAGGACAACCGGTCGACCAACAGCGCGTTGCTTGGTGTATGGATGGAGACATCCTTGAACCTAAGGGAAGCTGCTCAAGCGCTGCGCAAGATTCAAGCGCAAATGCCGCTAATGAAAGCCTGATCCTGGTCCAAGAAGCTCAATGCGGTCTTCTGTCGAGACGTTGACTCGAAGTGGCGGCTTGGCAGTGGCCACAAGCTTCTTTTCCAAGTGCTGAATCCGCATGATGGCTGCGTAGTTCTGCAACACCTGTGCGGACTGAGCTGAATTTCTCGCCACTTGAGCAAAGGCTGAGTGTATGAGCATCCAGTGTATCTTCATGGACATCCCCGACACAGAAGCTGCTGCTGGACTGAGGGCGTGGAGCAAGGAAAGGCTCATGCGAGGGGGTAAGGGGAAAACTACTCGAGATATGCTTATGTCAGAGGAAAACTGGCCTGATGTAAAGCGAAGACAATTCGAAAAGTAGCCCAGAGGAGGAAGTTGCCACCCCAGAAGAGCTGGATGCCCCGGCCTTGAATTGAACATGCACTGACAAACCCTGAGACCTGACACGACATACCTGACTGCATGACAGCTGAAAACCTCTGTGAAAATGCTCATAAGACGCATGAGCCGGTGCAGGTGAGCCGCTGTAGCCTTCAGCCACCACAGGACTGCGCTCCGTGTAGCCCAAAACGCGGCTGGCTTCCTAAGCACAAGGTTCTGCTCAGGCGACGAAAGTTGAAGGTTGCATCCACTGCTTGCAGCTGAGGCTTCATTGCCCACACGTACCGATCGGCCAGCCATCAGGCTCGAAACTGCACAACACGCTCTCTGGCAAGCGACGACATGGATAGCGGGTGTCTAGAAGTGGACAGTGGCGCACAAAAAACTACGTACCAGGATACATGGTGCATCGAGCCTCACCCACGGGCAAAAACACGAAACAGCAAAACCGGCTCGAACCCTGCAAAACCAGCTTGAAAAACTGCGCCTCCCCACAGATAGGTCAGCCAGCCCAGTGGTGACTGCTCCAGACAAGAGAAGATGAAGTAGTACAGCACGGTGTCCAGCCTGTCCTGACCTCGGCAGTGATGCAGTCGGCTTCGGCTGAATCGGGAACTGCGAGCACATCTGAGATCAGGTTCAAAAGAGATCGATTGCACGAGTCTGCCGTTGGCATTCAACTCAACTGAACTACCGCGAGATGCTGAGAAACGGGCCTACATAGGCTCGCCACTTCGCGGCCAGTGCGGCCAAAAGCTTGCCATTGAAGTCGCGCAGCTCTGGAGGCCCTCCTAGCAAGTGATGTGCATTGATGTGCACTACCAAAGATAACCGTGGGTCGAAGCTGTTGGTATATCTTTATGGAGGGAAGATGCACGTGGGTCCTTGCATCGCACAGATTGCCTGCGCATGCGTCTCTGCGCGGCTCAGACTCTGCTTCAATGCTGAGTCTGTCGCCTCGGAGTGTTGGATCAAGGAGCTGAATTACTATCGATGCATGCGCATTACCCGGAGGTTTGGCCTACTAATCAAACCACGCCAGGATGCAGCGGCACCACCCAGCAGTCCAGCCCAATCCACCGGCATGATGTAGTTGGCCTTTGAGAAAAACTGGACTGCTACTCCCTTTGGATAACGGATAACACTGGCTGTGTACACGGACTACCGGTGCCTGAGTGATAGCAACCTCAAATCCTCCATTCCTTGGAAGCTTAGAAAGCCAGAATTCTACACGTGAACTCCGAGTACTGCTTCCACGGCCGGCAAAGCTCCGGAGAGCTGGCGCTCACTGGACATTCGATATACGAGATTCCAACACGCGTCTGGTGCCGCGACGCCAAGGCCGGGAGGATCGCAAAGTGCCGATGCCAACCATTGCTTTGGAAGTGTCATCCCGTATCAAATGTATCAAAACAGCTGCTATCAGACCCACAACCGATCTCCAACCCTCATGTTTGCTAGCTGCTGTTCTGATGCCGTTCACAGCGTGCCCATGTGGATGTGGCAGTGCCAAGGCACAGTGATGTAGAGGGAGATGCCGTAGATCTGCGTGGCCACGGCGAAGAGGACGCCTCGTCGACCCTGCCTTGCCAGAATCACCGAAAAGGCTATCCTTGGCTCCACGGTCGAAGAACACTCCTGGGAATTGGACGATTCCAGCCGAAACCCCAAACCTAGACCTGACCAAGGCTCACGTCAACAACTCCTCCCAGCATTTGGGAGAGTAGGCCTCCAGGTGCAGCTTGAAGTGAAACTGCAGGCTACGGGAGCAGCATTGTATGTTCTTTGTTGGCACGGTGTTATCTTTCAAGCTTCAGGCCAGGAGCTCGAAACACTCGATGCCAAAGCTGGAACATCACTCGTCAGCCGCACCTGGCAGCAATCCCGCAAAGTACGAACCGTGCAATCCTGCGCCCAACTATCAAGTCAAAGGAAGGAGCTTGTTTCCTCCATGACTGACCTCTTGGTAGGTGTGTGCCCTGGTCCCTCGTTGCTGAAAGGCACAGCAAGCATTGCCTATGAGCTTCCTGAAGTCCTTGTCCTAAAGCTCCAAAGCTCGACCTTTGACAAGCCTTTCCGGGCTTCAGGCTTTCGACACTTGAACCCTGATAACAACAGTAGCAAGAGCTTAGAAAGCCTCAAACGGATTTTTCCGTAATGGAAAGACTCAGACGAACCGTCGAAGACAGAATTCCCAGCGGTTTGCCTACCTGAGGCTGCACCGAGACTTTAAGGACAGGGCGTCTGCATCGACGACTGCGCCTTCCGCTTCCCCGCCCTGCGCGATCCTCAGACTCAGGCTGTTTCAGAGACAGCCTCGGCCTCTCCCAAAAGTCTCAGCTGCAGGTTAAGCCAAGAGGTCTGGTAGAAGTGCGAGCTGGCGAAGTAAAGCTGGTGCAGTCGGGTGGTGAGCGCCTGCCTCCACATCCGCGCCAAGGCCTCGCATGCAAGTGGATCCGAAAGCTTTGGTGCATGCACTGTGCCTAGCCTCCTCCCCCTGCCGCTGGCATCCACCCGATGGATAACAGTCTGTCACACACACACACACACACACACACACCCTGAAGATCACACCCCCAGTTGCAGCTGAGTGTGTCCGTGCCCTACTGTGCTGTCCTGCCACGCGGCCCCCCTTCTCCTACTGATCTCCACACCAATCATTTCGCAGGCAGGCTTGGTGCCCCGAAGCACAAGCTGAAGCTGGTTGCTCAACTTGCCGTGCCTTCTCGGCATAGGAGTGCCAGCTGGTAAGCCCGGCAATAACAGCACAGGCCAGGATGCCATCGATCATGGATCGGATCCACTTTCTGAGCTGGCCTCAGATGTGAACGCCAAAGCATAGCACCCAATGTCCGAGCATGATGGTGCGCATCCAAGTGTCCAGAATTTTGGTAGTAGACCTGCAGCTGATGACTTGCATTGCCTCGCCTCAGCCTTTTACAAAGCTTTCCTCTGGTGCCTGCATCTCATTCATTCGCATCTTCGCCACGAGGGTGCCAGTTCGCACCACCGATGCAAGGCCCAGAACCAGAAACTGTCGCCGCAGCTGACGGTTGTCCGTGGTGTATCCTCTCTGTGCTGCCAGTGTCTGGCCGACCCGTAGGTGCTAGCAACGTGGCACCGTATATAGTAGAAACTCAAAGCTTTCTGGTCTCACTGCAAGGGTCTCATGACGAGCTTAAGAGCTTCATACCTGAGCATTTCGGAGCCACGCTTCGATTACATGCAGTAACCCGGTCAAGTGTACTGACGAAGGTGTGCTCTGCATTGTAGCATAGCTGAGAAACCAAACATAGAGCTGCGCCACCAATGGCTGTGTCATGGCTGGGAATCTGGCAGCGAGAGCGAGACCTATGAGTTCGTTTGACCGCTCTGACAGACTCGGCCTTCCTAGGCAGGCATAAAGTCGTGTCCAACGTCGGGGCGAAGGGAATTAGCCTCCGACACATGATCTTCCTGAAGGTTCTATGTACTCGGGCCTCGCATATACCGGAGAAGATTTCAACTTCTGCAAGCAGCAACTCCACCTAAGCTACTGAGCAGCCAAACGCGAACGCACTTCAGAGTTTCTGATTTCTGCACAGGCCATCCTGGGTCAGTCGGATACACTATGGACTATGGCCCATGGCCCATGCCGGGAACGCCGGGAAAGCAAACATTCGACAGCGAACCGAGATCGACAGTGCGGCTGAGTGAGGATTGTCGTTCACAGTTCTCCTATCTTCTTGGTGCAAAAGGTTCGAACGCATCGTGCTAGCGACAACAGATTAGAGTCAGACTGCTGTTCGCAAGCAGGCACTGACTACAACAAGAACAACATCCTGCTTACATCATGGCGTTGGCCTCTATGCTTTGCAGCCGCGCTGTTATCGTGACTGGTGCTGTGGGACACAGGAGAGCAGCTTTGGTGCTACTCCGTGGCCACGCACGATGCACTTATGCATCAAGGCGACGCGCCTCTGAATTATGCCACCTGTGGTGAGCCTTTGGCTTTACAGAGTTATCGACCTATGCTTTGCGAACTGCGCAGCGTCTCAAAGTTACAGGCTCTCTTCGGTTTGTCGGGTTAAGCTTTGGCTGCAGGGCGCAGTTGCACGCGGTCACTACAGTAATCATTGATCCGGATCGGATCTACGGGCCAGCTTCGGTGGAAAATCCATTGATCGCAAGCTTGGCGACATAACGAGTTCAGTGGTGGAACTGTAGCAGGTGTAGCACAAAAAGACCCCTTGCCGATGTTCTTACATGATTCGCCTGACATGTCCGTTTCCCATGGCCTCACACGGCCAGCTTTGGCTTACTGGTGAGAACCTGTACAGGTGTGGCAGGCACGCGAGTTTGCATGGGCGATTCGGTGTGCTCTTGTTCATCACGCCCGAATGCCTGACGCACTGGCTGTAAACCACACTCGAGCTTTGCAAAAAATGGAGAGAAACACGCACCCCAAGCACGTCGCAAAGGCAGATGTCAGGAGCCATGGCTGTCAAACTAGTTCACAGCGGATGCTCTCCCGTGCAAGTGCCGCACTTCTCGCCGTCCCGACGATTGCAACTCAAGCAAACTCGCAACATCAGGCAAGGCTGACTGTCCCTGGAGGAAGGAAAATCGACTCGAAAAGCTTCTGCCTCCGTGACAGCAGTGCTCGAGTGGGCTTTGACCGGATCTGACACTATCTCAAGCGCCGCCACGACACCTCTTCAAAGAAGCGCCACAGCAGAAGACCGTACCGAGATGCGAGCCGTGGCACATTGGTACCACTGCAAGGCACGATCAGTCTGCCTGCCGTTGCAGACTTGAAGGCAGTGAGCATCCCTCCAGACCCGGAGCCTTAGTTGTCGGGCGGCTGCGCCCGTGCAACAAAACATGGACCCTTACTTTACGCTAAATATGTGTGTATATATACACACATATATTGTACACATGTATACATATAGATAGGAGCCTAGAGTCGACAGGCTTAAGCTTCAAACCACATCATGTGTCCAGCATCCTCAGTTCGGGTAGAGGTTCCACCGGCTACGAAGCTTGCCCGGCCAGCTCAACTTCGTCAAGTGCATCGAAATCGAAAAGCCCGCCATCATCAAGTACGTGGTGCTCCTGAGCAGTCACAATGGTGTAAGTTCTCCTCACGACAATTGACGGCAATGTGTCAGTGTTGCATTCATGACATACATTTAGAAGAGTTTGGCTTTGGAGGGTCGATCCGCGTCTAGATGATCAAGGACCTGCCCGAGGCGGAATGGCCTCCTCTGAATGGAAAAAATAGCTCGGGCAGTTCGCGAAGTTCGGGGGTCCTGCCGAACCGCCTGCGCCGCTTGCTTGCAGCTCTCCTGCCAACGCGAAGCACATCATTGTCATGCGATGTCTGGCAACTATATTCCGCTTGCTTGCTTCAGGCTCCCCGGCCCTGTCCGTCGTCTGTCAGAGCCTCTTGGGGATTGGGTCTCTGAGCGCGCCACACTCCTCCCCCCGCTCTCTCTCCCCACCGGGTCCATGTCGTGAGAGGGCCTGGGTGAGGTGAGTTCCATCCGCACATTGCCCTGCGCTGACGAGTGCTGCCTCTTGACGGAGCTTTGCGCTTTTATGATCCACGTTATCGCAGCTCATATTGACCTTACAGATGTCCTCACCAAGACAAACTATCATTCTTGGGTGGCAGTGGCTGGCTTCCCAAAGCCCAAGCATCCAGTCCCCGAATCATTGTCTTCTCTTTTGCTCCCTCCTGCTCCTTCTTGTCCGACGTCTTGTACATCCGAGACTGGCGGGTATGAAAGGAGGTCCTGCCGTCCTAGGAGGCGACGAGAGGAACTGACACGACGCCGAAGACAGACCCATGAAGTAGTGAGCTTAGGCTATATAGTATATGGCGGCTGTGGAGAGTCTTTGCTGTGGGCCTCGTCAGGTGTCGGCCTTGCAGGCTCGTCCTGGAACCAAACGGAAATCAGCTGCTTCTTGTGGAAGGCGTACTCCTAAGTCTTAAAGTTCATCATTTCGCAGTGCTTCAGCCTCACCCAAAATCATCACACGGTCAAGCAAAATTGAAGATGCCCGAGCGGCTTTGAGGACTTTGTCGTCCTTCGCAACCTGCATTGGCGCCTTCCTGAGCTTTTCGGAAAAGTTCCACGACAACCATCCTTAACGACCAGAACCATCCATCCCACTCGCACCATCCAATGCCAGCTTGCAAAAACAGAAACTGTGCCTCGGCAGCCAACTTGAGCCAGGCATCTGGTCAAAGTCAAGGCCAAAAACGCTCTTGCGGAACACTGGGTCGAGGCACTTCTGGAACAAAGGGCTGGACATGATGTCAAACCTCGGAGCGACTGCAGCTCGGGCAAAGGCCACTCATGGTGCAGCTCAAAGGTGGCTGGGCCAGCAGTGGTCACTTTGGTTGCGGCGCGAGTTTCGGGCTTGTTCAGTTCGGAAGGCAAGGGCGAAAATTGAGTCAACTCGAATTTGTTGGCATGGCGACAATTGACGCCATGGCTACAGTACCGCAAAAAGCCTGCTTAAAACCTGCATGTTAAAATGAAGATGCTTCTTGCTGAAGTTTTCCAGCCAAGCTATAGCAGCCGCGTATATACAGCAGGTAGGCAGATGGCTGTGCCAGATAGTTCAGTGAGCAGTTCTGTAACTGCATTTACTTACTTTTTACAACAAGTCAGGGTCAATGAGAGCATCCTTTGGCAGTTGGTCAGTAAATGCTTGTTTGCAGAGCTGGAAACCAGCTCGGATTTGGCACAGCTATTCCAAAAACAGTCCCTTCAGAATGGTGTCCATCACGGCGGGCTAGTCGATAATGTCATGGCAGATAGTTCATGTAGATGAGATCTGCGGTGTATCCGGCCCCTGGCCGTCAAAAGGGAGTTCTAGCCGAGCGAGATTCCTGCTTGAGAAGGGTCGAAGAGTCCACTGTCATCACCTCCGACATTCTGGTTCGGATTGTATGCGATGGGGTTGGGCTGCGCATCCCAACTGACGACCTGCACTGAACGACCTGGAAGATTGCTCAGCTCTTCGGAAAGGATGCGCTGAGCTGATCCTGTACCGAATCCTGACAGCCGTTCGCAAACATTGGTGCTGGCTTCCTCGCCACGGATTTGGATCCTGAAGCAAACGCCGACCGTCTCATCCAGGCGGCGGAGTGCACTGCGGACATCAAGGCGTCGCTTAGCATTCTCACAAGGCAAGGTCAACTCGATTGTACTGGAGTCGATGTTTGGCCCAGCAATCCTGGCGACAGTCTTCTTGAGGGCAGCAATTGCATCCGCGTCCTTGCGGAATGCACCGGCATTTGGTACATTGAGCCTGAAGCTTCCAATGGCAAAGAAGATTCCAAGGCCAGTGGACAAGCCGATGCCAACTCCCAAAGTGACTGCGAGAGCGGCACCCAAGGTCGACCCCAAGGCTGCGCCAAGAGCTGCATCGCCGCCGGGAGGAATAAACGGAGGCGGCGCAGGTCCGACTGTGGTCATCGTCTGCGTCACTATAGTGTTTGTCGATGTCACCACCGTGACTGTCGAAGTCACCGATGACGTGATAAACGAAGTAGTCTGGGTGTGGGTCGTCGGGCACGTCGCGCAAGTGAAAGCATATTCATCCGAGCAATCTGGGCAGTCACAGAACGTGTCATTCACGAAAGTCAGGGGGATCTCGCACCCTGATCCGTCGAGGCATGTGAACGTTCCCGTTGTTGTGGTCGTTGTGGGTGGAGGGTGCGGATGCTTCCACCACCACCATTTGGCCAAGCCGCTGAGGTGATGGCCTCTGTATCCAAAGCGACGGCAAATGAACCTCCTGCCGTAGAACTTTCCGTACAGCTTTGCCCAAAGCCATCTGTAGTGGGGGCTCCACGGCTTGTAGTAGTTGAACCCTCCGTTCATCCCGCCGTAGTACTTCATCCACTTGCCTTTGTACAGGTTCCTGTAGTACTTCGACCAGTACTTAGCATAGATAGGGTTGGCTGCGGCGCCCCCTAGCTTCAGCGCAGCTGGTGCTGTTGTCGGCACTCCGGCACTCAGCGCAGCTGGTGCGGCTGGAGTTTGGCCTGGCGCAGCGGTCTTGGCAGGGCTCGATGGCAGTTGGCCTGGCACACTCGCTGCCTTAGTTTTGCTGGCATGGTAGGCAGCGAAACCTTTTCCGTAGGTTCCCAATCCCTGTTGAGCGGCTGCTGGTGACATGCTCTGACCCCATGCGCCATAGCCCTTGCCACCATATCGGCCCCAAGCGCCTTTGCCCTTGCCATAGGCTCCGGTCGGGATGTTGCTTGTGCCAGTCTTCGTTGCCATGGGTGAAGCTTTGCTCATGGCGGCCTTGTGGCCCCAAGCGGCCTTCCCATATGCTCCATAGCTGGAACCCCAAGCGCCTTTGCCTTTGGTCGGGGCATTGCCTGTGCCATTCGTCATAGCCGCGGGTGATGCCTTGGCCTTGCCCATGGCAGCTGTTGGAAAGCCCTGGCCATATGCAGTCTTGCCCCAAGCTCCTGCGCCGTAAGCTGGGTAGCCTGTAGCAGCCGCAGGATATCCTTGGCCCCAGGCGCCTTTGCCATAAGCTCCATAGCCTTGCCCCCAAGCACCTTTGCCATAAGCTCCGTAGCCTTGCCCCCAAGCACCTTTGCCATAAGCTCCTCCGTAGCCTTGCCCCCAAGCACCTTTGCCATAAGCTCCTCCGTAGCCTTGCCCCCAAGCACCTTTGCCATAAGCTCCTCCGTAGCCTTGCCCCCAAGCACCTTTGCCATAAGCTCCTCCGTAGCCTTGCCCCCAAGCACCTTTGCCATAAGCTCCACCATAGCCTTGCCCCCAGGCACCTTTGCCATAAGCTCCATAACCAGCACGCCACGCTGGATTGCCCTGTGCAGCATAACCGGCACCCCAGGCACCTGTTGTGCCTTCCAGTGTCGGGGCGATGCCTGTGCCATTGGCAGCTGCGGGTGAAGCCATGCCTGCAGGAGAGGCCTGGCCATACCAAGCACGTTGCCCGCCGTAGCCAGCACCCCAAGCACCTTTACCGTAGGCTGTGCGATTCGTCATAGCTGCGGGTGAAGCCATGCCCATGGGGCCCATGGGGTTCTGACCAGCCCCATTTCCGCCCCAAGCACCTGCGCCGTAAGCTGGGTAGCCTGTAGCGGCTGCAGGATATCCTTGGCCCCAGGCGCCTTTGCCATAAGCTCCATAGCCTTGCCCCCAAGCACCTTTGCCATAAGCTCCATAGCCTTGCCCCCAAGCATTCTTGCCATAAGCTCCGTAGCCTTTGCCATAAGCTCCGTAGCCTTGCCCCCAAGCATTCTTGCCATAAGCTCCGTAGCCTTTGCCATAAGCTCCACCATAGCCTTGCCCCCAAGCACCTTTGCCATAAGCTCCTCCGTAGCCTTGCCCCCAAGCACCTTTGCCATAAGCTCCACCATAGCCTTGCCCCCAAGCACCTTTGCCATAAGCTCCATTGCCTTGCCCCCAGGCACCTTTGCCGTAAGCACCTGTGGCGTGGGCGCCGCCCGCAGGTAATTGCGGTAAAGGGTCTTGCAGCAAGCGGTTTGAGGCCTCGAGGTGGTCTCCTGTCCAATGGCCGTAGCCGGGATAAAACCCGGGTAGAGGTGGAATCGAATAGCAGTGAGGTGGCCCATGAAGGTTGCCGCCGGGTAGAGGAGGTAGGCCTATGAGGTGCGGACAAGTGGTCGTTGTCGTAGTCTTGACGCCTCCTGCACAGGAGGTCCATGTGCCACAAATCGCGGGGCACCCAGGACCAGGCACCTCATACATTCCAAGCAGTCCACCCAAATCTTCTGCAAACCAAGGCCCAGATTCTGAGTCTCTGTCGTCTTCGAGATCTTGAGAGTCAGACAGGTACATCGGTTCTTGTGCCTCTGCTGCCTGAGCTGGCTCGGCGACGCTTCTCTCAGCAGAATTCGTGCCAATTCCGCGCACGAGCAGAACGATTGACAAGGCCACTGAAAGTGGTCCCCACCAGCGCCATCCGCAGCTCTTCCCCCTTTGCTGGGCGATGTTGGCATTGTTCTGCAAGCTCTGAAGCTCCTCATCTCCCTCCACTTCGGAGTCGGAAGGCAAGGCGCCTCCGGCCGCCATGAAGTCTGCTCCCCCCATGGCTCGGCTAGACTAGGATCGGCAGACTCGCCATATACTGAGGGCCGAGGTGTCAGCACAAACAAATCAGAAAGAACATTTACCAGCATGGCCGCTTCCAGTTCAACATGAAGCTCAGAGGCACATCACGGCGAAACATGACGATACTTGGCTTAGTGTCTCAAGGAAACTTGTGAACACGAAGACTGAAACGATCGCAAGGCCATGCCAAGCTGCCACATTGTCCAGATTACGAACTTGGGCAGAGCGTTCCAAGCATTACGCTCTTCTGTGCTCATCCTTGCAAGAGTCGAGTCCAAGAACGATGTGCCTTTTTCATGGGCTGCTGTCGCCATACCAGTGTGTGCCAGGCGGCCGCGCAAAAGTGTGGAAGATGAAGCTGCGAATGTTCTCGTCCAACCCTTTGGGGACACATCAAGTCCGCCAGAGTGCTTTGAAAAACGAAAGCACTCGAACTCGGCTCTTCGTTTGGGTCCGAGCCTAAGGGCAAGTTGTGCTCCAAGCCAACGCTGTTCTGGCCGACGATCTGGCTACCACCAACCTGCTTGCAAGGCTTTCTGCACCATGGGATCCCGACTTATGAATGCGACGAACGTGACTCAATGCGATTCTTGGCAAGAAGCACTCTCGGCGACACGAAGTTTGGGGCCTGACCTCGGAACCCCATAACATGCAATGCCACCATGAGAATGCAGAAGCATTCAGGGACACTCCCAACAAGCTCATGCCGTAGCCAAGCATCAAAGCTCGGATGTCAGGGTCATGCAGGAAGATCTTCTCCCGAACTCGTTCCGCCTGCTGTCAGGAATCAAGTCAGCCACGGCTGCAGCGTCACGACTGGCGAGCCTCCTTGAAGGACACGTAGCAAGTTCCACGCTTGCGCAGGAAGCGCAATCGGCGGGCATTGCGCTCCTCAAACTGTTGATCAGCATGACACTTGTGGGAGACTCTGTCGGCTAGTCGTTTAGAAAACAAGTAGCTGCGAGTTGGAGCTTAACTGCCTTGCACAGCGTGAAAGACTTGTCCAACCGGCCATTCATGTAGTCATGTAGTGTGTATACTGATGGCCGATTTGCCGGCAGGGCTCATCAATCAAGAAGGCGCGCATCACTTCAGCTCTGAGCTCGGCGATTGTTGACTTCGAGGTCCTTTGCCATCAAATCTGCTCGCGCAGTGGGGACACCATGCTTCGTGCGACAAGCAGCAGGAATCATCTAATACATGGAATACATCTACACATCTGCTTTGATAGCCTGTGCCTGCAGAAAACCACAGGTATTCCAAGCATCATTTCCAGCTTCATGGCCGGCTGATCCGGAGACCTTGGATTGCCACAGTACTGCCGTCGCTAAGCAGACGAGAAAAGCTTCATCTTCGATCGGAGCCGCTGCATGGACAGCAACGAAACGAGGATGGTGGCCGCACCTGCTGTCGGCAGTGCCGCTCTAGATCTTTCAATCCCAGACTTGCTACTGGCAGACTGGAGATCAAGAGACAGGCAAACAACAGTGCAAACCCACC